TTTTTAGTGCATAATTTTAAATACACTGAACTCGGAGATTAAATTTTTAAGAACCTGCACGTTTGATAGGAGGGGAACACAGAAACAAGGGCTTTTTGAAGTTTTGTCTACAGCCACCTCAGTTTGTAGCTGTAAGAGATTTTTCTGTGAGCTCATGTCACGACCTTAACTTTACTGTTTAGTTTGGTACTGAGCTTAGTCATTTACTTTAGATATACCTGTGTGAAGAAGGTTTGAAATGCTTAGAGAATTTTGTGAGAAAAAATGTGGCAGCTCATGACAAGTGGGGCCAGATTTCAAGTGTAAGAGTAATAGTGATGGTTTCCTGCATGTTCCATCTTCAGTGACCTCAAATTTTTCTGTTTGATGATGTTATTTAAGTTACTCTGTGTACCTGAGCATTCATGCAAGCTAGGAAATCTGGCAGATCATGAGTAGCTTTGAAAGTGACCAATTCATGCACTACCTTCAGCTACATGAAGAATGTTGTTAATCCTGGGATGTGAAACCCACCTGTAGCAGCAGTGTTCCCTTTAAAGACAGAGGGATCATGGTAGCATAGAGTTCCGTTACAGATTGGTGCCGTTTATTTGAGTCTGGAATGACATTGAGTAAATTTTGCTTCTGTTTTCTCACTGGGATGGGCCTTCATCTATGAAGAAGACGTATAGGTTATTGCTGGAAGCTGACAGTTCTATGTAAAAGTTGAGGAATCATGATCTATGTCCTGCTGCTACACCATAGGGAAGTCAGGCATTAAATTGAAGTTGTGAGCAGAGAACTGTCATGAAAGTGATTTGATAAAGTGATGTTCTGTATATGCTGTCAGTTAAGCATGTGATAATGGTAAAGGTGTGTATGTTGTGCTCTAAAATAATGCTGAAAATACTTGAACTTTCAGAAAATAGTAGGAGTTGGTTATGCATGTCAGAGGCTTCTCCAGGAGGTCCAGATTGTTTTGAAATTAAGGAGGATATGAATTGGCAGACTTCAGTTTGATTGTCTATAATTCTAATATTGAAAGAGGTTCTTCCTTTTGAAAGCAGGATAAGTAAGACATTTTCAATAATCTTAATGACATGAAGCTATGTCAAGTAATGTTTAGGGTGGATATTAGCAAAAGTTTCTTCATTCAGAGCACTGTTAGGCACTGGAGCAGTGGGGATCTGGTCACAGCAGCAAACCCGACAGTTCAAGAAGCATCATGGACAGTGTTCTCAGGTACATGGCGTAAGCTGGAATTGTTCTGGGCAGAGCTGGGAGTTGGACTTTATGATCCCTGTGGGTCTCTTCCAACTCTGGGTATTCTGTGATTCTGTTCTATGAGTTACATATATACACAAAAGCAGTACAGTCATCTTAAGAAAGCTGTATGTAGACTGCTTGTTTTAGAATTCATTTGATGTATGCGTTTTCAGCTTATTTTTAGCCAGCTGTGGACATCCCAATAATTTCACACAGAAGTTGTGTAACAGCAGTGGCTCTCTGCATAGCAGAGTTAACTGAAATGAGACCAATTGTCCATGTTTGCAATTGAGGTTATAAAGGTTAGATGCAGTAGTAGTCACTTACTTGCAATGAGCATGTTGGAGGAGTTTAAAAATGTCTCAAATTGTTTATATTAAGCCAGGGAGAGGAGGATGCCCACAAATATAACTGTGTTAGCAGTATTCTTGAGAGCACAAGAATTAATACAACTGGTAGAGATTTGGAGGAGAGGAATTTGTCAGGGTAAACTGTAAATAATTTTAAAGCCAAACTTGTATGGAAAGGCTTTACTTTCTGGGAATTTTCACAGCTGGCCTTAAGAGGAGCCCTAAAATGTTATCTTCCTGACTCTTCTCTCAGCTTTGATCCATCATATAATGTATTTCAGCAAAAGATTGGATATAATTGTATGCAGAAGAATATGAATAATGGTAAGGACAATAGTTCAGTAAGCTCAATGTTTGAGAAACATGGTGATGTGTCCTTAGTTTTCTTTTCGTTTTAGTAGCTAGCATTCTGTATTTATTCCAGTAAAATGGAGTTATTCATAGGAACCTGCATAATATTTGCTTCATTTAAGAAGAATATGCAATGTAGCAAGCCCTTAAATCTGCTAATCTCTTCATTGAGTAGACCACTTTGTTGTAGCCATCACAATAATTGTGCCCTAATTATATGATTATATTCCTCAGAAATGTATATGCAATTATTTGTAAATTTGTTGAGAGTATTTAGTGTGAGTTTTGAATACCTCTGTCAATGCATTATTTTTTCAAGTTTTTGTTTTATAGGACCAAGTATGTGTTTGTGTGGGCATCTGCTCTGCTAGAACAGAATATTTTAATTGGCAGGCTGTAGGTCTATGTAGTAAGTTACTTGTTCTTTTTCTACTGCTTTTCCACATTGTACTTGTAAGAGGAAACACTAGCTTTAGTATCAAGGAATACATCGAATGACTGATGTACCAGGCAGAAGATGCTGGCTGCTGCTTTTATCTGTAGATGTACTCTTCCTGTTCAGTGAGTGTCTGCTCTCCCATCCACCTGTGTGTATGTGTATTTCTGTGTTTTCAGCTTTATGTGCTTTCAAAGACTAACCCTGTTGTGAGTAAACACATACGTGAAGGTGAATTGCATCAATTGAGGCTGGAATAAAAGTTTGAAAACTTTCTGCTCTGCTCTGTCAGTTTCTTCAAGCACAGGTAGATAGTTTGAGTGAGAGAGGAAACGATCCTCTTAAAGTTAAGTACCACAATTAAAGATTTGTTTCCTTTATATTTAATCAGGAATTAAGAAATTAATGCTTTTTGGGTTTGAAGCTTTCAAGAGGGTGTATTTAGAGAGAATTGCTTTCTAACATCCGTTTGAGTTTGTACTTCGTATCAGTTTCAAGGCTTCAAGGTTCCTTTCAAGTTGTTAACAGAAATCACAGATCTTGTAGCCTGCCTGGAAGATCTATGAAGCTTACAATTGAAGAGAGAAGTTGGTAGTAAAGGCTGCCCTATATACATATGTAGTGCTACTGTTTGCTTTCTGTTACGATTTTAAGAGCTGTAGTTGTCAGATTTTTTGTTGGTCGTGTTCTGAACATGGCTATTAGGAAGATTTTAGCCTGCAAAGATGAATTTTCCATAGGCTTTTTTTTCCAGATTTTCCTTTTCAAAATGTGAGGATTTTGTGCCAGGTGTGTTGTTGTGAAAGTGTGATGATTGTGAATTGAAGATGTTTAGGAAGGGGAAGAAAGGGTGCCCCTTGCTTTTCCAAACTCTGTAATTAGTCTCACTGAAATGCCTTTCTCGGCAGAAATACTTTACATGACTTGATGTTTTTCTTTTTTTCTTTCATTCTATGTGCCATTTTCATTCCCCATGTTACTCTGGCTACATAGTATATAGCATCTTTTCTTTCAGGCATTTCCCAGGATTTAATTATTGAAATGCCCCTTTCACTTGTGTTTATAACTTCTCTAGTTTTGTTCTTCTTCTTAAGTTTCTTTAAACACTCATCATAGAATTGAATTTGATTTCCTGTGCCCTGATTTTTGCTTAAGAATTGAACCTGTTCCCTGTAAGGTGAGGCTATACCCCCAGCCCCCATCCTGTATTAGTATATCAGCAGGACATGTCCTGTGTGCCTTTTTAGTACTTGACTTTTCTTAGTACTTAAATAAAAGAAATAATTCTGAAAAGTGGCAGAAAATAGGAACTGGATTCAGAATAAGATTTTGCAGTATTGTGATGTGACTTACAATACTTATATTTCAGTAACCTAGATCTGATATATCTGGTAAAAAAGCTGAATTCAGGACAACAGGGTGGTTTTATTGAAAAGTTCATGAGTAAGGCTACAGGTAAGAGCCTATGAAGCTGAGTCCTCCAGAATGTTTTCTATTATGTGCAGAATCCTTTAAGCAGGTTACTTATATGGAAGTGTTGGATCTTTCAGATACTTAGAGATGCACTTGCACAGTCCTGTTCTCTGGGATGTCTTTTTGCTTTCATGTGTTCTTTGCCAAAGATGGTGAATGACCTTGCTTGCCCTTCTCTTGCTATTTATCTTGTTCAGTTAGAAGGAAGTTATTATTAATATTGAGGTACTTGCTTTGTTTTCTGATGCAGATGCTGTGGCCTTGAAGTAGGCCAAGTGAAAAATGAGACTGTTCAAGTATTAGGATTAAAGGCAGTTTAATATAGTCCCTCTTGAAGTACTATGAAAAACATTAGTTCCCCAAGTCAATAGGCAAAAATTTATCCTCTTGCTATGTGTATGAGGTGAAGGAACTTGAGCTACTAAAACTGAAGTAAAACAGCTTCCCTTTTCTTGTCAGTAATGTAAGGTTTGTTCTGTGAGAAGGAAGTGTGTGTGAGAAATCAGTGAAACATGCATATTTATAAAGCACCTCTGTCTAATAAATCTTTACCAGAGCTGTAGGATAAGAATGATTAACAAAAATTTCTGTTGCATGTTCATGCTCTCAGCTGTTCTCTGAAGGAGAGTTATTTCCTTTGAGGTGTCTTGTCTTGAGAAGAAGTTGAGAATATTGGAAAAAAACTGGCACATCTTGGACTAGAAAAGAAAAAATGAGGTTTGTTGCAGTTAATGCTTCAACCCTTATGTCTGGCCTGATTTTCCACAGCATCTGTACTTTACTGCAGAAGGATCTTGTGCTGGTAGTTGTGAAATGTTTTCTTTGAGGGCTTTAGCTGTTTTTAAGTGATTGGGATATGGGCTGCAGAATGTCCTAGAAATAAAGACAGAACCTTACTGGGGAAGCTGGGGAAGAAAGAGAAGCTCTGAAGTGGTCCTGATAAGTTTCTGTTACTGAGGAAAGTAACAAACATCTACTTGCTTTAACTTTCAAGAATTGCTGTCATGGTTAGGTTGTGGAACAAGTCTCATCAGAGGGCAACAGTTTTAGTATTGTGTGGCAGGATGAGATGAAATTCTGAAGCCATCCTGAAGCAATAAGAAAAATATTCATAGTCTCATTGGTAAATGAGAGCCTGTAAAAAAAACCAAAAAACTTGTGAAACCGAGTCATTGATCTGTTCATTATTAAGTAATTTCATCAGGTAAAAAAGGTCCCTGTGTGTGATTTTGTAACCTGTTTAGTTTTAAGTGTTGTATCCAGAAGCTGGTTTAACTCAGTAATTTTAAAAATTAAAGTAGGGAGGTATCTGACATTTTATTTTGGCTTGTATTAAATTGTGATTTCACTGGTGTGATTTTCTGGAAAATAATAGTTTGAATGTTTTCCAGTGTTGATTTTTCTCAGGAAAATCATTGTCCTGTCTCTCAGCAAAATAAGTTTGACTTCTTACTTGACCTGTACTTGAGATGAACACTGTATGAGAAGCACTTGTTTTAGTTAGCAGAGGGGAAGGGAAAGATTTAGGGATAATATTGCTAGAGAGAGTGTCTTACCCCTAATTGTTTTGCACTGTGGTCAGATGTGTATGTAGAGTTCACATCTGTATTTTTACTGGTTGGATGTTTTTGTGGTTTTTTTTCCCACCATTACCAAGGAGAGTGAGTGTGCAGGAATATCTCTTCAGAAGTTCATGGGGTTAAATACTGGCTGATAAGTTAACTGAATTGTTTCAACACTTTGCTCTTGAACGTTTGTTAAATATGAATTGCACGCTGACATTACTTAAGATTTATTGCTGAGAGTTTGAAGGAAGTGTGCCCACCACTTTAGCGGATGGCACTGTCTGCACTGGTGGAATTGGACCTTGAGGTCCTGACTCAGCTTTTGGCAACAGTTTAATTTCCAGGGATTGGGGAAACCCCAGTTTACTTTGGCTTGAAGTTACTGTAAGCCAAATCAAGCCATTTCACAGTGGTAAGCAGTATGAAACTGAACCTTGCAGTTGATAATTCAAAAGCATAACCTTAGGCAGCTCTGAATTTTATTCTCTGGGCATCTATGCGGCATCAAGTTGATGTTTTTCAAAACACAATATGCTAAATAATTCTTATAAATAGACTCATTGATGGTAATGGAACTAAAATAGTCCTTGCACAGAAGGGATGTGCTGAATTAATGACAAGTACAAATATCTCACAGCCTCCAGTAATTTGCATGGCACCAAGTGGTGAGAGAGACAGGTAGCATGTGTGGCATAAGGATATTTCCTGGAGTCCTCTAACTGTGCTTCTCTGCTGATACATGGGCTGTATTCTCAGACTCAGTGTTTCAGAAGGGCACAAAGCAGTATCTGAAGTGTCTGTTGTGCTTAATGTGCTTAATAGTTTGTAGACACATATATACATCTTGTAGACACATCAAATCATGGATATTCATACATTGTAACTTGATTACCCTGCATCCAGGTGTGGCCCATGGAGCAGCTGCACATGCAGTGGAAAAGCAGGCGCCTGTGTTGGGACTGAAGCAATGGGATTTGGCTGACTCACATGTACATGGCATTGGGCAGTCATGTTTTGTCCCACTCGGACACTTAATTATCACTGGGTGTACGGAGAGAATGACATTGTCACTTAAAATGCACTGAACTTACAAGTATTAAGGAAATGCTTGTCCTTAGAGGAAACCTTTCTCATTCACTTGTGTTCTTTCTTTCCTTCCTACCCTCCTATATATGACTTGACTTTGTTGCTGAGTGTTTATACCTTGAAAACAGGTTTGATCATAACGGCGGATAGAAGGTCATGAATTTGAAATGTAGTAGTCTGTCCTGAATTTTTAAAAGCAATCTAAATAAACTTGATGATTACGAAGCACAGTGAATAGCTGGTGTGTGACTCATAGGAGTTTATAATTCTAAATGTGCATTACTGATCAGGAAACTTCTAAGCTGGTATTTTGTTTAAGCTTTTTAGCCTCATAGAGGCCTCTGCTCTAGGTAGCATCTTTGCTTTGAAATGTAGCAATGTTTATTCTAAGTCAAGCAAAGTGTCAAAACGTGCAGATTTACATACTGAAGACTGACATCTAGAGCAGGAAATACATAGATTGATTAGAAAGTCTGTTTTAAGTTACTCAGTAATGCACCTGTCACTGTTGCAGAAGCACTTTCCCCCCTTTGTTGCATTGGACCTGAAATGCTGATCTGTTGGTGTTGTGAATACAGAAGCTCAGACCATTTAGTTGAAAAGTATGGGTAGGTTTTACTTGCTTTTCCATGAATGTACTTTTACAAAATTTAATTGACTGGAGCTATTCTAAATAATTACTAAGCAAGTTTCTTCTTTACTGGATGCCTTATGCAGTGAAACTTAATTATGTGTCTCCTGGCATTTGAACTTGGTGACGTGTTACTTAAATTTTCTCAAAGGTCTTTATCAGTTCTCTTGATATCTTGCTGTCTTGGTACGTTAAAAAGCTCGTTGTATTAAGTTACAAACTACAATGCTTTTTTTTTTTTTCCCTTGTAACAAGAATTGTAATTTGGAGACGTATGAGGTAGGAACTTTGATTCCATTGGCACTGACAGTTACTCAAAGACAAGGTTAGGTGTACTTTGCCATCCTGTGTGTGCTTATGCAGCTCTCATTTCCACTTAGCACTAAATAGCAATTTATTTCCATTGTGTGAGATACAGAGGAGTAAAGTACTTAAATGAAGATGTTTTGAAGTCTGCAAAAGGACTTGTTTAACAGATTAGCTTTTAGTCATGGCTATGGTGCACTGTATGCTTTTTCTGCAGACTTTTTTTTCCCCATAGCACTGAAGTGGTTAATATTTAAAAGGTTTGTTTGTTTGTTTTTGAAATCGTAAATAAGCTTGATGGTTTAAGACAATGCCCTGGAAGCTTCTTCACCTTGACGTTTTTAGTGCAACTGTTATAGATTAGCTTTTTATGTGGAATGCACATGTGACTTCTTCAAAGGTGCTTAGATTGTTTAGATTTTAGGGCAGATTTCCTTTTGCTTATCTGACATGAGGTGCTGAGCCTCAACTTAGCAATGAATGAACTTGAAAAATGTTGATACTTGGTTTTCTTGTTAATGGTTTTCTCTCCCCATATTGTTGTATAATGTTCAGTAGAAACACCAATTAAATTGTAATACTTTTTTATGTGTATGACTGCTTGACGTAATGAAACTGTACTTTACAGAAGAGATAGTTAAACCTGACAGGCATTTTGTAAATGAAGCAGTTTTAGGGGAGGTACAGCTAGTGTAGTTTTGTGTGTGTTAGACATCCTGTGTAAACCCTATTCATTCACTGGTTTGTTTTTTTGTTTTATTTTGGATTTTTTTGGTTTTGTTTGTTTTTGGTTTTTTAATTGCTATTTTTGGTTGAAGGGAAAGGCAAATGAACCAAATATCAAGTTGCAAATGTATTGAGTTTCTTTCAAGCCTCTTTAATATTAAAGTTGAATAGAGCATAGTGGTGTAAAGCTCACAGATGAAAGAAATTATTGGACTGCTAAACACAAAGACTAAAATGAGAGTCCCGCTTCTGATACCTTGTAGCTCAGAGAGAACAGCTGTGGAAATATGGCTGTGGCTTTTGTGCCTTTTTACTCTCCTTGATAATGATGCCCATAGGCTCCTTTTCGAGATTGTGCTGGGCAAAGTGGTCCTCTGATAAAATGCACACTTGTCTTGCAGTTAGTGTCCAAAAATATTTCTGCATTCTGTGAAGAGTTTGCTTACTAATGATGCCTGGATTTAGACTGCCCCAATCAACCAGATTGGACATGTGTTCATGTGAAATCCTTGGGTAGTTGTGCAATTTGGTGTTCGGAGATACGAGAGTCAAGCTGTAGGAAATGTTGAGTTCTAGAGACTTATGCAAAATCTGAGGGGAAATTCCTAGTAGCTCTAGGTGGGTAAAGTTTTCAAGATCTGTTTTTAATACTTCTAAGAAAAACCCCAAACCAGCTAGATCCTGTTGTTTTTTTCTTCAGACTCTTTGATCATATGTAGATCTGGGAAACTTGATTTTTGCAGTCTGTGGTGTGTGGCCTGTGAAAAGGAATGTTTCTGAGCCCTTGATAAATTTAATGCTGTGGCGATAGGGGTGCTGCTTAGACCTCATGGCTTTGTTCTTTTGTCTTTCTTGTCTTGATTGTGCTGTGTACTGATGTCAGGTTGATTGGTGGATCCAGACTGAGATATATCTGAACTGCAAAGGGAGGAGAGGATTGGTTTAATGAAGGTCATTTGAAAACCTCGGCTGTAGAACAAAGCCTATGGAAGCAGTGATAGGCATACCGTTTTTCATAGTTTATGTAAAAAAAAAATCGAAATGTAAATTTTACTCAGCTGAGCTGACTTCTAATTCTGCTGTCTGTTGAAGTGTGAATTCTTAGCTTAGCCTTTAACTTCACCTGGTGCTGTGTATAGTATTAGGTGGAGATTTAAAACTGGAACAGTTGAGGTTCATGTCTGTGTGGGAAGGCACAACCCTTTGTGTATGTGCACATGGAAGAATAGTGGAATAGAAACTTGTTTGCAGCAAAATTGGGTTACCTTGTTGCTTGTTTTTCAGATGGCACTGCTCTTATATCAGTGCTGAGCAACTTTAACGGCAGTATCAAGTCTCTGTGACTAATTAAAATGTTGGAATCCGGGTGTAAATTTTTGCCGTGCAAAATTATCAGAGTTACAAAATATTGCTAATGCACAGAAATGTTTTGAGCAAGTAGCAAGATAGATGCAGTGGAATCTTTTAGCTTAGGAACTTGATTACAATTATTAGTCAACTAATGAAATGATCTTGTAGTTCCACTTCCATAGCCCATATGAGGGGAGAATAATTTTGCTATAAAGCTTTATCCAGGCTGTTCTAAATGGCATTAATTGCTAAAAACTTTGAAAAGGAAAGGTTAAATTATGAGAGCTGTTCTCATTCAGTTGTAGACTGTATCCTGAAGGCTATGTACTTGTGAGCTGTATAAAATCTCAGTTCACTTTGTGTTAGTCTGATTTCAGTGTGGAGCTCATGCCCTGGACATATATTTACATAGTACATTAAAAGCATCCTAATGTGGTCTTTAGAATCCTTTATTTAAGGGAAAATGTCTTTGTTTACTAGAGATGACTGAAGTAGTTTTCATTCATTGCCGTCTCAAATGAGCATACAGCTGGAACAGTAGGCTGAGGTAAGGAAGGGGCTCTTGGACAAGTTTGCAGTTAAGTCTGGTGTGGCAAAGTTGTTCGAGATGAGCTGAGCTGGTTTAAATGTTTGTAGTGAGGAGAGGCAGTTCCAGTGTTTTCCTAGAGTTTGTTCTGGTTTTTGTGTTACCTGTGAACTGATTTAGCTCAGGAGAAGACTCGCTTAAGACGTAACTTCCCTTCTCTCTGTGGTCTGTGGGTTACAAGGCTGCCTAGGCTGAGGAGTTCATGAGAACCAAAGTGATTACGACGAGTGGATGGATCGGCGTAGCCATTGCCAACGCTGAGGAGATGGTTTAGTGCCTTCTGCCGGTTTTGATTTTGTGCAGTTCCTAAGTGAAATATTTCTAATTGATACCAAGGCCTGTGCTTCTCAATATATGTTGTCCAGTGGCAATTTAGCAGGCAGACAAGTGTTTTTCGGTGGTCTGAATGGGACCTGTGCCTGGAATGATAGAGGTGCTAAATTATGTTTGTGAACTATACTGAGTAATTAATGTATGGGTTAAATACTTGAATTTTCCTGCTTCCTAGGACTCCTAGGTTATGTATCTTATCCTCTCTGGCATGTTTTGAGCCAGTCTCATTCATTTCTTCATCTCTGCCTATCTGTTTTGCACAGTAATTTGAAACGTGAAATTGATTTCTCCACCTGTCTACCACCATTGACTTATCAAGAATAGCAGGTGAAAATTTCCTATTAGTTGTAAGTAATTTGCTACTCGGAGTCAACAATACAGAAGCAAGATTTTTTCCAGTGAAGGGACAGACTCCTTCCATGCTCTTAGAAATGTCTGATTTGAACATGGGAAAAGTAGTCTACTACAATGCTCGTGATGGTGTGGTGATCTCATTTCTGACCAGTGTTCTAGAGAAAGTCTAATAATTACCAAGGATGTTTTGATACTTTGTTAATTACTCACCCACGCATTTAAAAAAAAATTAGATCCCATTTTCACTGAGTAATTGCTGTTTAAACCAATGCAACTATTTTAACTTGGCATTTTAGCAGAGATCTAATTATTACAGTGATTACAGTAGAATCCTTCTTAACTGACTACTTAAGAGACTGTCATCAGCTGATAAACAGAAGTGACCTCCATAGTTTTCCTCCGTGATGGGACAGTTTTAGGCTCTGCTATAACAACAAGAAAACATTCTCTTTACTGCCTAGAATGATTCAGACCATTAAGAGATCTTGGCAGAAGTGCTTCAGAAGGGAAGATCTAAGGCCATGTCGTTTGGGTGAATCTGCAGGCAGCTTCAGTTGATCCAAGGTGTTCACTGTGTGTCCATATATACTGAAGGTCATAATAGAAGGAGGGCCGCAACTGCTTGTGGGCCAGATGAGGGGCAGAAGTGATCTGCTCTCTTTCTTAGGACCCATCATAGGTAGAGCAAGGAAGGCTGCTTTGCTGACCCATCATTTCTGTCCTGTTTTGATCATATGTGTTTCTTGTGACCAGATTTAAACTATTGCTAACACTTACATGACATTCATGTACTTGAGTTCACGAGGGTCAGAGCTGCAGTTATGCTTACCAACAAAACTATTGCCTTGCCATTATCAAAGGCCAGATCTATCAGCTGTTATTCAGGAGCTGGATTCTGGGTCTCAGTCAAGGATCAGTGTAACTGAGAGTCTGATCTTGTGCCAGAATACCCATTGAAGACTGACTTAGGTGCATTGCAACTCGGGCTGACCTCATCAGTATGACTTCAGTCAGGTTTGGAACTTTTCAGCAGCAGTTGTTTGGAAGCAAGTGCTGTAATAAACTTGTCAGAACGTCTTTGTTGTTTTGGAAGTAGTTAGGTGTGACTGCATATGCGTGTGAGGAGCTAAAGGCAGAAGTGTGTGGTATGTCACTGTGCTAAATGCTTCTTTAATAACCTGTGGAGCTGTTGTTCAGGAACAACTGAGCATTTTTGCTTTCAGTCATACTAGAAGCCACTAGAGCCACTTTCTGCCCTGAAGGTGAGAATAGTGTGAAGGAAGTATCTCTGAACAGTTTGCATTGATCAAAGATGGCTTCTGTGTTCTGGCTGTGCATTCTGTACATTCTCTTGCAGCATTGCTGGTGCTTGCCTGTCTCTGGGTGAGCTTTTTCTATTATGGCAGCATTTAAGTGCCTCTGAGTCCCTCAAACATATTTCCTGTGTCTGAACTGGTTCTTGGAAGGGAGAAGGAATTACGTGAGTGCAGAATAAAGCATGGCATTAAAAAATAGCCCTCTTTGTTTTGCATGTAATTCTCTGATATTACTCTTCAAGTTCCTCCCAATCTTGGATATAAATTGTGTCTGATTAAAAAGTTACAGGACAGCTAAAATGTGATAACAGGAAGAGAAGGTAAAGAGAATGAGCCGGTTTGGGTGTTTTATTCCTTTGTCTTCTTTGTGGACAGATTTATTGGATTGAATCTATAGACAAATTTTCTCTAATGTAACTTGACCATCATGCTTTGAAGAGCCTGTCTTCCCTGATCATGCAGGTTACTGAGATTCTTATATGGCTGAGAGACCGGATATGTATCCTGAACAAGCAGACTTGGAGGTTGGAGAGTGCCTTGTGTGCTTCAGCAGTCCCTACTGTATGTTTTGGAGTGAGTTAACCTGAAAGGTCTTGGTCTGCAGGAGAGTCTCTGAGCAACTTTGTTGTGTTTTTCTCCACTGCCCTTCTACCAGTAACTATTGCTGATGTGAGAACTTTCATCTCTGTATTTAGCAGCCAAAAATCTTTACCTTGTAGGCCTGGAATCAGGTTGCTCATGCACCAGTTTACCATCTCTTGATGACATGATGAACAGTTTCTGGTTTTTTTTCAGTTCCTAATGTTTTCTTATTTGATCTTAATAATAGGGTAATGTTTGTGTTTCAAATGAGCTGCGATTTTGTTGGATTTTTTGTGTTTAGAGGGTTTTTTTGGGCCATAAGCTGCTAGGAGGTAAAATGTGTACTAAAAGACAGGTCTGGGAGTTCGTATGGCCTTGATTGTGTGTCAGCTGTAATCTCTTTCAGTGTAACTGTTGTGAACCTAATGCTTCTTGACAACTGTCTATGGAAACTGGTATCCCTTTCGGTTCTTAGACCTTAAACATTGCAAGTGCTGTGAAGTGGTAGCCTTGGGAAAGCACTTCTGTCGGGGATGGATGTGAGAGGCTTTTGCCCAGTCTTACTGATGTAAATCAGCAGTTCTGCAGAGACCAGGAGATGGGCAGTGGTTTGCCTTAGTTCCCAGTAATGACGCAATCAGTTGTAGTTTTTGTATAGGTTTTGTTTCAGAGGCTAAGATGTGATTCTGATCTGTACATGCTTGAACTCAGTCCTGTGCACTTTTTAGAAGTACCAGTACTTTAAAAAACTTTCTACTTGACTACCCCACCTTTTGCTTCCCCCAGCAAAGACACCATAAGCAAATGTGCTTAAATTATTATTTCTAAGGGCTCTGAAATAACGGGAGAAATTATTTGAGGAAGCTAACAATCAAATTACAAAAAAAAGTGGATTTTTTTTCCTTTATTTCTTGAGAAGATGCACTCATTGCTACTGTATTTACGTTTTTTCAGTTCCCTTTTTAAAAGGAACTATGCATGCTGTCCCTTTGGTTTGTTCAACTATAATGATGGGTAATGTCACTTAGTCTTTTAATGCCTTGTGCTGCGGTTGTCTTGCTTGGAATATGGTCTCCAGAGTGTACTGCAGAGTAGATATTTTGTCAAATAAGCCTCTGTGCTCTCTGAGTGCCAATTTTCTTTTAGAAACTGTAACTAACTGAAAATCCCACAGTCATGTTGCCAAAAATTTAAGAAGTATTACCAAAATGTGAAAGAACGCTCTCAGTTGCTGTGTTTCTGCTTGCAGGCAGGAGTGCCTGCTGGTAGTCAGGTTGAACCACAATCACAGAATCCTTTCTTTTGTGTTCTAATTATTGTAATTAAGGTGTTTTTTTAATGTACTGTGCTGGAAATGCATCAAACATGCAAATACTGAACTTGTGACAAAGAATTAGCCTATATCCTTGCATTGTCATTTGAGAGTTCCTACTGCCCCACTGCAAAGCAGCACTGACCACAAGTTCCACTTCCTTCAGGCTGTAATGAGAGCTGCTCTACTGTGTTTTGATTTCCCTTGTGCCTTCGTTGCTGTCAACTTGCTTTAGATTGTCCTTTCACTCTCTGATGTTTTGGAGCACGAGTGGTGATCCGAGTGTGCAGTAATAGTGGATACAAGGGACAAACTCGCGATCCTAAAATTGACAGGAAGGAAAACCACAGAATGACAAACTGTGCCAATGCATAATTTTGCTTATGAAATGGCATCATATTTTATTACATTCTACGTAGTCAGAAAAAGAGTTGCTATTTTGGTGCGCTTTTCCTGTAGACTCTTAATTAGAGGAGAACAAAGAGAGAAAAGTGGTTATCGAGCTTTTGGTTATTTAAACAACTAGCATTTTAATTTGGTAAGTATTGGCATTTTAACTGTCCAAGTAACTTTCTGGAGACAGGAATCTAGTGCAGTTACATGTTTCTGGATAGGAATATAGTGCAGGAGGATAAGGTGCAGTTCATAGAATTGTGGAATATCCTGAGACAGAAGGGACCCACAGGGATCATCAAGTCCAACTCCTGACCCTGCACAGCACAAGCCCAACAGTCACACCATGTGCCCAAGAGTGTTGTCCAAGCACTTCTTGAACTCTGTCAGGGTGGTGCTGTGACCACTTCCCTGGGGAGCCTCTTCTGGGTGAAGAACCTTTTTCTAATATCCAAGCTAAACCTTTCTTGACACAGCATCTAGCTGTTCCCTCAGGTCCTGTCACTTGTCACCAGGGAAAAGAGATCAGTGCCTGTATTCATGTTTCTACCTGAATGTTACAAAAAGTGATGAAGCTGCTCCTTTCCTGAGACACCCTCTGTCTCTGAGCTGAGTGCTCCCACTGCATCCCTTTTTTGTTGGGATTGTCAGACCACGTGGTGAACCAGTATAGGATGCTAACTTGATGGGAAGCTAACTTGGGGGCTGGGAAGAGTGAGCAGATTTTTAGGATTTTTCTTGTATGAACTCTTTATTTTTTTTAATGCAAATTTAGCTGAGCATTAGTAAAATGTAAAAGGAATTAAGTTTAAGGAACAGTACTATTGTTCTGAAATGACTTGATCAAATGAGCATTACAGCACTTCTAAAGTTGTAATTACAATAGCATTCTATGTCAGGCAGAGAAAGCAACTGAAAATTAAAGGTTTTCTGGATATAAGCACAACTAATAGGTTGAAAATAGTTAAATGTAAAAGTGCAAAGCAGTTTCAGGGAGAATAAACTACCTTCAATAAGTACATGTTTTGAAATGGTATGGAATGATCCAAGGGAAGCAAGCTTGGGATAGAAAGGGAAAAAATTTTGAAGCAGCCTGCTGTGGTGCTAAGCAGTTCAGGCTGAGTGTTTTTGTGAAACAAATGCAGGTATTTCAATGTTGTTTCAATCAGAAGGGTACATTAAGAAAGAAATGTGACTACACTGAAAGTGGAAACTCATTAATAGGAACATACAATATGTGAACAGTTTGTATTTACATGAAAGATGTATCTTGAAAGAAGGAACAATATGAGATACTACAAACATTCACAGAATATTCTCATCGTATTCTACACCTTCATTGCTAGATGTAAGAGGAAGTTTTTCTTGATTGTACTTGATACAGAAGCAGTTGAAATGTTTCATGAGTCTTAGTGGGGTTTTTTTGTCCTTGGTGTTAATTTTAAAAATGCTTTTTAAGTTTAGTGAAGCAGTTAAGCCAGTGTAATGGCTAACTGCTGCCAAGGGGAATCATCTTTCTCTCTTCTGCATTTCCCCACTGCTTTGCATACACACACTCTGGCAGTTCAGGGAGCCAATTTTTCAGACGACTAATTGTTTTCAGGGGAAATAACAGGACAGTGATGGCTTTTTGTGGATTTAGTTCCCTAAGCTGTCATCATAGATTCAGTCTGACATAAGGCTGTGGTAGTATGGAGAATGACAGCAAGAGGCACAAGACTGAACCTTGTGGTGGTGGCTGTTAGATAAGTTTCATTCTAACATGATAAATTACAGCCTTTGAACTTGACTAACCCATGTAAAATTCATGCCAGGAATTTAAAGAAACAGTCTGGAATAATTTTACAGCTATTTGAGAACTTCAGAGGGGCAGGTGAAGTTTGTAGAGAAAGGGAAAAGGCACTAAATTGTGCTTTTTTTTTCTTTAAAAAAAAGCACCTCAAAATATGAAATCCCTTCAAAAATCCCAACCTAAAACCTCATAACAGTCAACAGACTGTTGAAAAGGTGGAAGCTAGAGGGTTACAAAGAAGTTATTTTACCCACAATTCCTGGAAGAATATGGAGAGTGTAAATTCTTGGCCCTGGTGATGACCTGGAAGATACCAATCGCTATGAATACCTAATGAGAGGTTTTCAAGAACAAACCCCAGTTAACCCAGTTGAGCTTCTTTTTGTGGCAGGGCACAGGATCTAATGGACAGTGGTGTAAAAGAGGCTTTTTGATACTGCTCTGCTGTGCAGTGAATAGAAGCAGTTGTGTAGTAGAAATAAATCTGCTTGGTAAACTGTATCTAGAAAGAGATGGACAGACAAAATAAGAACATTTGTTGAATTTCCTGGGTGGTCTGTCTTTAAGTGCCAGGTGGTGTTTTCAGGAATGACTGGGACTACAGTAGCTACATACAAATCTTCCTGTAACATGAAGAGCAGCCAGAAAGTTTGATTAGGATTTGAATTTAAAATCATTCTGACAAATTCAGGAAACCACTGCATTTTTAAATGGAAAGCTATGGATTCAAATGAATGTGGTGTTGCATCTTGTTGGGAGTAATCACCTGTGCAATCACAGTGGACAATGACTGAAGAATAGAAACTGAAAGCTGTAGTATGTTAGTAGTAGATATTTAAAATGCTTTCTTGTTAAAAATTACTGCGTTCCAAGTCAACAATTGCACCTGATTTATATGTATTGCTGTCATGGTTTAACATAGCTTGGGTTTTAGTTAAAGAGAAAATCCATCAGTTATGGAAGTGATTCTCTGTGAGGATTGCCAGCAACTTCCTCTGGACCCAACAGAACCAATCAGCTGGCTAGTTTTGAATATTGACACCCATTAAACCACTTAAGAAAGCCAAACACGCCTCTGTGAAGTCACATTGAAGCACTAACAAGCCCCAGGACCCTTGGTCGTGGCTTTTGAACAGGTAACTGGACGCTGGCCGGGCCGGGCGCTGCTCTGCAGTGTGGCTCAGCTGTATCGGGTGAGATATTTACTTCTGCAGTGCACAGATGAAACTCGCAGGCATCAATCTTCTCTCAAGTGAGAGAAAAGGGGAGGAAACAAAGAAAACAACACAGAGACGCCAAGATCAGTGAAGGAGGAGTCAAATGCCAGGATGGGAGGAGAATGAGGAGATGCCTTAGTCTGGGGTTGAAATTCTGCTGTAAGGCTATGGTGAAGATATAATTATACATCAGACTTTTTTTCCCCTATAACTCGTGGAATGCATTGGGGGATGTAGTATTTCTAACCACAGCCGTGAGCAGAGGCACCAGTGTTGAAGTATCTGTGATCCAATGCAAAGCTTGGACAGAGAGAGATGAGAAACCTTGTCCCAGGGATGGAAGAAGAAAACCTCTGTTCCCAGAGACAGAAGAAGAGAACTTTTGTTTCTATACTAGAGCAGCTCACCCTTAAAATTGCACCCCAATAAGTTGAGATGACCCATGGTGGTAGCTGTGGGAAGACTACCAAACCATGGGAGAGACTTCACGATTGTAGATTTCCGGGTGGCTGCTGTTTGTTAAAATTAAAACGAGAGGACTGTTCCTTGTGGAAAAGTCTCCATGGTGTAGCAGGAGAGATTCCTCTCCCTAGGTGAACAAGAAAGATGATTTTAGAAGTGGTAAACTGGACTGAAAATGCCAGATTTTTTCTCTTAATGTTGTTCTTGGGAGAGGGAAGAAGATTTGAGGGGAGGAGTGTTTTGAAGGTTTAATCTGATTCTTATTATTCTTTTCTGTTAATGAAGTTTTCTATATTCTCTTTAAAGTTTTGAGCCTGCTTTTGCCCTTCTCCTAATCCTTACCTCACAGTAGAAAATGGATAATTCTAGTGAGTGCAGTGGTGTTGGGCCAGCACTCAACCCACCTCAATTACCAGGATAGAGCGAGATGTGCTGAGCCACCAGCTCAGATGCTGAAGCTGGGGGCAAAGTTGCTCTTTTGGGTTTGTCCAAATAAATGAAAACTTGAATGCATGGAGGTATAAGGAGAAGTTGCCTTGTCTGCTTAGTTTCTGCTGTTTAATGGGGTGTCTCTTGAGATGAATTGAAATCAATATGAGCAGCAGGTTAACTTTTTTCAGTGGGGGAAATTTTATCCAGTTGCTTTTCGTAATATGTGACTCTGCTAAGACTGTTCACATACTGAGTATTTATGTAACTGGGATGAAAGGCAAAACCATTATTTGTGTTTCTGTTTTAAGAATGATGTTAAGATTTCTTTAAATACAGAAAGCTTAAACCTGTTAGTAAAGAAGTATAGGCTACTGGTACTTTTACTAGTTGTGCCCATATTAGAGAGGGCTCAGAGAAATTGGAATCTTAATTTAGTGTATAACATCCTTTTCTCTGAAATAAAACATGTTTTTGATGTTTAGAAACACAAGCTGGGATAAATACACCAGGAACCTTAATGTTATTATAAAACCGGTGTTTGCTTAACTAAAGGGCACTGGCTATTATTATGCATTTGATGCAGAATCCTACTGGGCTATATGATGATAAAGATTAGTTCCCTTTTAGGCAACAAGTTGTAGCTGGGTAATCCTGAAGAATTGTTACAGTTTACAAAATATTGAGGTGTCTGATAGCAGCAATTCAGTAAAAGCTACAAAATAAGTTACTTTGTTCATACCCCACCTCCTAGATCACGTGTTTCTGGACTTAACAAATGCTGCCGGTCAAAACCAGTGCAATGAGTTCTGCTTGCAACTCTGCTATGCCTTATTCTCATGATCTGTCTTTTCCTGTGAAGAAGCTCTTTAACCAGGGGATAGATGTGAAATAAAGTCTGCAGCTTGTGTGAAGATAGGCTCAAATCCTGTGAATTCTTTTAGCAGAATTACATCTTAGAACACAGTTGAATTTCAGGCTTCGTGAACTTTGCAGTTTATAATAAAGCCTGTTCGATTATCTTCTTGATTATCTATATTTTTTAAGTTTAGGCAGAAGATCTTAATTGCCCTTACTGTACCAAAGTAATTAAACTGAAGTCAGAGAGCCAAAGATATAATAAGATCATGTGGATGAACATCATACATTCAATGTTAAAACCAACTATCACTACTACCCTTTTGCTGCAGTTCCTGCTTGCGAGTATTTCCATAGTCTGATTTATAGCATCTCCCTGAGAGATGTATTAGCATAACTACTGTAGCACTGGTTTACTGAGCACCTGGGGAGGAACAGAATAGAAACTTAAGAAACCAGTGCTGCTAATAAGGAAAAAAATACCTTGTTGTAATGCCAGTAAACCACTTGAAGACATACACACATCTAGTTGTGTGGGTTCTGTTAGTAGCTCTATGAACCATGCTGATACTGCTCACTGTCTTCACAGAACTATGGGCAGAATGGGTTGCATTCTTACTGTTTTTTGATGGATTCGGAGAAGGAAAGGGAGGATAATAGGAAGCATTGCAATAAATGATAGCATCTTCAGGAATCATTCACTGGGTTAAAATCGTTGGTGTTCATTGGCAATGATGGCTAGGCCTCCTCTCTGGTTTTCTGACATTACTGGCAATAAATGGCCAAGGCAAGTGCAGAATAGTACTGGAGTCACTATGTGTCTGCAACCACTTGTTATAATCTGTATGTCTAATCAAGTTTATATGTCTTCAGAAACAGGTGAGTTCGGGTTTGTGTGAACGCCGGCGCGGCCGGAGGAGTTGGGAAGGGGAGGGGAGTGTGCAGGGGCCCAGCGCCATCTGCCGGGAACCCTCCGGCCTGGGCAGCCCTGCTCAGGGCTCTACAGTGCGAGCATTTGCAGAGAAATACACCTCCTTCAGCCCGAGCTGGGTCGAGCTCTCGAAATATTTTCTCAGGTTTTCTTTTCACTTTTTTGTTTACAGGAACATCATTTGCAGCGGGCTATCTCAGCACAACAAGTCTATGGAGAGAAGAGGGATAACATGGTTATACCGGTTCCAGAAGCAGAAAGTAATATTGCATACTATGAATCTATATATCCTGGAGAATTTAAAATGCCAAAGCAGCTGATTCACATACAGCGTAAGTAAAGTAACTCTACATTGACTCTGATTTCTCCAGGCAGCAACTGACAGAATGAGAGGACAGAGACTTAAGCTGTGCCAAGGGAAATACAGATTGGATATTAGGAAATTTTTTTTTACAGAAATAGTGATAAAGTACTGGAATTGTCTGCCCAGGGAGGTAGTGGAGTCACCATCCCTGAGTGATTAAAAAATTGATGTGGTATTCGGTGCCATGGTTTAATTGAGGTGTTAGGGAATGGGTTGGACTCAATGATCTTGAAGGTTTCTTTCAGCTTAGTGATTCTGTGAGAATTTAATTTTGTTAGTAGTTAAGACTTTATTCATAAATGTCTGTTGAGCTCCCATCAAGACTGATTTCTGAGAATTAATTTTTTCAACATGTTGAAAAATACTACTTGCTAAAGAAGTACATTTAGTTTTTGTACTGTAGTAACAGTTTGCAGGGAAATTGAGGTTTTTTTGTTTGTTTTTTTTTTTTGGCAAGCACAGAGACAGATCTACTTAAAGAGGAAGATACATAATGCGTAGCTAAGAAACAGAATATCTTTCCCTGAAGCATCACCAGGCTAAAATGGCAGTAGAGTGGATTGGGAAGCAAACTAGAAATGACAATAGCAGTAAAAGTATTTGCCTATGCCTAGTGCAAGTATTCTATATCTAAAAGCAGATGAGGTTTGATATCCCTGATGACTTGCAAATTTGTTGTGGTTTTGTTTTTGTTGGAAGATAGCAGCTAGTTGCTATGGATATGACCCTTCATGTGAGCACCACATTACTTCAGATAACTTTGGAAAAAATTATGAAAATATGGTCTGTTGAAGAATTCTGTTGCATGGTGTAATAAGCAGAATTTAAGAAGTAGTATCTGTGCTATGTAAACATATCTCATGCCTAATTAACTTGGTTAAATGCTAGACTTCTATCATTCATTCTATTCATGTCATTCTGAGCCTCAGTAATGGCTTAAAATATTTGAATTGTAGAATAGTGTGGGTTGGAAGAGACCTTTAATGATCATCTAGGTCCAAACTCCCTACAATGAGGGGGGGTTCAACTTTGTCAAGTTGCTCAGAGCCTGGGCCAACCTGACTGTGAATGTTCCCAGGTATGGGCATCCACCAGTTTTCCAGGCAACCTGTTCTAGTGTTTTACCACCTTCATTGTAAAAAAGCTCTTCCTTCCTACTAGCAGTCTTCCATGCTGATACTAAGATTATACTTTTCTTATTTTCCTTATCTAGCTGTTCTAATAGCTGGAATTGTGAATTTTAAGCTGCATTGTATTCTACTTGTTTATTAAAAATAGGTACATGTTTTCACATGTACAATTGAAAAGAAATTTGTTTCTTACCAACCACAGCAATTTGAATCAGACATGGGAGTCGTGTTTCAAATGCAGAATGATGCATTTTCATAGGATATTGTGGAAAACATCTGTTTGCATTCTGCAAGACGTTACTTGTATTTAGAGATGCTTTGCTACATGGATCATGCTGGGCCAGTGTAGTCTGACTCACCTACATCACAAAAATAATTGATGAGAGTCTGTTAAGATGATTGTAATACAGTCTGCACATGCTTTGCTCGGAGTACCTTTAATGTGTGTTTAGGCTGAAATCTGAACTGCTGATCATACAATACATAAAACTTGGCAGCATTGAAGATTTTAATAAATCTAAAAATGTCTTAGTGAAGCAGTGAGGCAGTAAGCTCTTAACTGGCTTGACCACTAGTAAGTTTTCATTGGTTAACAAAACCATAACAAGTAGATGTGAACTTTTATGCCTAATTTTTAACAGGGTAATTTTTTTTCAAGAAAAAACCTCGATGTTTACATCCGTGTTGAAGTAACATTAGTAGTACAACAGTCAAATAATTTTGGTTTTCTCTTGAGAAGTGTTGTGTGAGCTCTAGATGCTATTAGAACAGGACTTTTTTGTGGTAAAACTAACTTTAACTTTCACTGTATCGTTTAGCTTTTAGTTTGGATGCTGAGCAGCCAGATTATGACTTGGATTCAGAAGATGAGATCTTTGTGAATAAGTTGAAGAAAAGAATGGACATCTCTCCTTTGCAATTTGAGGAGATGATAGACAGACTAGAAAAGGGCAGCGGTCAGCAGGTACAATGGTACTTTGAATAAAGAATTTGAAATAAATGCCCTATGTATTACTGTATGAAAGTGACATGCTGGGTTTTACATTTAGCCAGTCAGCCTGCAAGAGGCCAAGCTGTTGCTGAAGGAAGATGATGAATTGATCAGAGAAGTGTATGAGTACTGGATTAAAAAGAGGAAAAATTGTCGAGGTCCTTCACTTATCCCAGCAGTGAAGCAGGAAAAACGAGATGGTTCCAGCACAAATGACCCTTATGTTGCTTTTAGAAGACGAACAGAAAAGATGCAGACACGAAAAGTAAGTATATCAGTGCCTCCCTCAGCTTTTCTTTCTTTTCATTCTCCTTCTTTCAAAAAGTTGCTTGTATAAGGAAACAATTTGCAAAGTACTACACCATAGTGAAAAATGGAATGTTTTCTTTTTAATTTGCAAGGGCAAAAAACATTAAACAGATTCAGTCTCACTACTGAATTAAAGTTTATATTCACTTTTTCACTAAATTTACTCTTAAACCTACTTAGGGTGTTGGCAAGCTGTGTATCGTTGGTAACATGCACATGCTTCTTTTTGGTTTAGCATGTGACTTGTCTTTTTTTTTTTAATATACCTAAATAATTAGAACTTACTTTAATTCAGATTATTTAACTTAAATGATGTGGGACAACACATACTTTGTGTATCTACAGAATCGAAAAAATGATGAAGCTTCTTATGAGAAGATGCTGAAGCTGCGTCGAGACCTGAGTCGTGCAGTAACCATCCTGGAGATGATAAAAAGGAGGGAAAAAAGCAAGAGAGAGTTGCTGCATTTAACACTGGAAATTATGGAAAAGAGGTAGTGTTTATTGAAAATGTGCTGCAGAAAGCTTTGGAAACTTCTTTATATTTGGATTGCTGGAAATATTTGAACAGTGGGAGATTTTTAAAATAAGTTCAGACTGCACATTTACAGGATAGCATGTACATACATGCCTATAAAGCGTTAGGAAGTTGCTTATTATGGGAGGGTTATTGTCATACTAAGCTATATTGTTTTATTATATGTGTAGATACTTTAAATGTATGTATTTACTCTGTACATTATACCAGAAGAGAGATCATAGTTTCAAGAGCAAAGTCATTTGAAATTGTGTGTTAAGTATGTAGATTAAAGAAATTCCAGCTGTTTTTAAGGCCAGTTTCAATAATTACCATTCTTCTTTGACTTAATGATCTCTTTTCTGTGCTAAAAAAGCTTGATCTAATACCCTCTTGAGGAAAACAAGCATTTCATAAAATATTAAATGTGAGAGTCATATCCAGCTAGTGCTTCTTTTGCCATCCTGTTGATTATCTGTGCAGTGGGCCAAATGCTCTGGAGAGTGTCACTTCACCAGTTGACTGAGGATCACAATTGCAGTGTGGAGTTGTCCTTGAGGTTGCTATTTACAGTCTGAACTTTTCTAGCCTAAGTATCCATGCTTGAAAGCAAATGTTCCAAGGCAGTACCTTAAAACTGCAGAACTGACTTTTTAGTCTAGGTTTTTTGGGAGATGAGCTGAACTGGCTCTACTAGGGCACTTCTTTTAGGCCCTGAGCATTTTCAGTGGAAACGGAGGGGAGAGAAATCATGACTATTTCTCCAGTTGCTTTTCAAAGAAAATAAGCCATTGAATAGAGGAAAGACTCTAGTACCTCCCTTGGAGTAGAGAACTGCACAGCATTTGTAACATGAAACTACGTTGAAATGTAATGTTTCATGGATCTACTTATTGAAAATTCTCCTTAACACAAAAGGAGGATTCATTAATAACTCATTGTGCTTCACTGTTCTAAAACTTCCTGAGTGATAAATGTGATAAATTCTTTAAATGGTACCAGTCCCCAAGGAAGGGGGTGGGTAACCCTCTCCTCTTCTTTTCTTTACAGTATTACCTTTAAGATGCTTTACAGAGTAGCTTAAGATGCTTTACAGAGTAGCTATCCTTTTTTATCTGTCAGCATTATTCATTGCAATGAATTTTCTATGTTATTAGTCTCCTTCTCTGGAATAATACTTTTTGTGCTCCTTGCTGATGTACTGGGTATCC